ATTTTAATTATAGGAAATGTTGAAAACACAGAAGATCTAGATGAAACTAAACCCGCTGCCGTCAAGTCGAGTCGACTCATAGCAACCCCTCCTTGGGTTTCTGAAGCAGTATCTCTGCGGAAGTAGCTTGCCCGGTCTTCCTTCTGAAGAGTGGCTGGTGGGCTTGAACTGTCAGCCTTCTGGTTAGCAGTCAGATGCCTTAGGCACTTATGCCGCCATAGTGGCCAGATGAAACTAAGTCATTCATAACTGAAATATCATTACTATTAACTTCTTAGTCTCCTTTCTCACATATTTGATATATAATTATGATAATTCTAGATATTTATCCTTTTCTCTTTTTCTCTGTATCCTCCTGTATCTATGTTTACAGTGAATTTTTAATAACACTTTTAATAGTTGCCAAGTATTCATTTATAAATAATCGCCTGGGTAACTCATCTCCCAATCTGCCATGTCATCCATTTCCAGTTCACTCATTAACTCGACAAATGAGTGCCTTCTATAAACTTTCTAGCTTCTGAAATTATCTTTCTTAAATGCAGATTTGATTGTGGTACTACTCCCTGCGTGAAATTCCAGAGTGGCTCAGAGGCAGTTTAGCACAGTGAAAGTAGATTCCGGTGGATTCCCTTAGTTTGTTTCCCATTGTTATCATTTTATAGATGTATAACATTAGGCCTCAGTCTCCTTGCCTATAAAGTTGGAATAATAATAGTACCTACTTTATAGAGTTGTTCTGAAGATTGCTTAAAAAAATACTTAGAATAGCACTCTGCATACAGTAAGAGTATAATAAGATGAGTCCTTATTCCATCAGAGCAACTCAGCTTTTATCTGTTTTATTTATGTACTTTTAAAGCGGAGTTTTATTTGAGCAAAAGATACCACTGATTTTTAAAAAAATCAAAGTAAGATACAATCAAGACTTCCAGTAAGATAGAGAAATAGGCAGACAAGTGACACAGACCCTCTTCAACAAAGAAGAGAAAAACCAGTGGACAGGGATACAGATGATAATCCTGGAGCCCTGAACTTTGAAAGGAACTATACAGAAGTGGATTAGCCACCAACTAATGGAAAACCTGAATGAAAACAGTGAGTACAGAGACGATCAGAGCGGCGGACTGTCAGCTACGCTGACAGGACCAACAGCCTGAATATTTCCAAGTAGTGTTGAGACCGAAGAATTGACGTAAAGATCAGCCCTGGTCACCAAAGGCTGCAGGGATGACTGCACTAATGACCTCTGACCAGGAAGGGAAACAGCAAGGAGGGAGACAGACTGAGCTGTTGACTGTGCGCTATCTGGAGGACACAGCCATTTTGAATGTTTAAAGTGACGGAGGGCGTAGCCATTTTGAATGCTTACAGGCTGTGGCCATTTTGGATATTTAAACTGACCGAGGCCACAGCCATTTTGAATGTTTACAAGTGGTGGCCATTTTGGATATTTAAAGTGACCAAGGGTAGAGCCAATTTGAATCTTTACAAGTGGCAAACATTTTGGATTTTAAAGTGATAGCATTCTCATTCAGATTCCAGAGACCTAAGAATAGGCTCTGTTTGCCAAGGTCACCAGGGACATATGAGAGGCTGACAACAGGAAAGGAGACAGGTGGTGAGTGTCTAAGTGCTGTCATCTAGCGAATAGAGGAGCACAATACCCTGCTTGTGTAGATAACATACAAACAAAGAAAGCGAAAATCAAATCGTAGGCAAGTCACTCCAACATACAATCACCACTTAAATATAAACATAAAAACGTCACAATGCTTCAGAGATAACAGAGCATCACAGTCCACACAAAGAAACAAGATAAAGCAGGAGAAACAAGGGACCAGGATACAGACCCAAAACACATCCCTGAGGAAGATGCAGCATTGGAACTCCCTGATAAGGAATTCAAAAGAATTATATTTATGTATCTTCAGTGAATTGAGAGACAGATCAAGGAAAACACAGAGAAAACCCTAGAACAATTTCAAAAGACAATACAAGAACAAAATGACAAAATAAATGAAAAATTAGAAATGATACAAAATCTACACACAGAAATCTGGAAGATTAATACTAAATTTTCATAAATAGATAAGACATTGAATGGGCAAAGTAGCAGAATTGAATCAATAGAAGACAGAATTAGGGAGATTGAAGGCAAATACCCAAACACTTCTTTGGAAAGGGATCACTCAGAAAAAAGATCAAAACAAAATGAAGAAAGCCTAAGGTTCATGTGTAATACTATCAAAAGGAATAACCTACGTGTAATCAGAATTCCACAACAGGAAGAGACAAATAAAACCACAGAGAAAATAGTCCATGATTTGTTGGAAGAAAAATTTCCTGGTATGATGAAAGATGAGAATATATCCATTCAGGATGTCCAACAAAGCCTAAACAGCATAGACCCCCCAAAAAAATCACACAGACATATCATCATCAAACTCACCAAAACCAAAGACAAAGAAAGAATCATGAGACCAGCACGGGAAAAACGAAAAGTTACCTACAAGGAGCAACCAATAAGACTAAGCACAGATTTCTTGACAGAAACCACGCAGGCGAGAAGACAATGGGATGGTATATATAAAACCCTGAAAGAATTATGTACCTGATAGAATTGTCCCTCAAGTATGAAATTAGGACATTTCCAGATAAGCAGAAATTAAGGAATTTGTTAAAACCAGACCAACCTTACAAGAGATGCTAAAGGGAGTCCTTTGGACAGAGAAGCAACAACAGCCAACAACAACTGACCATTAACACACATGATGATATAACCCAGAAACCAACCCAGCTATGGAAGTATCCAAAGTAAATAAGCCTACAAGATTGTAAACAGGGAACCAGAGATACCAATTGACAAATGAGGACAACTACAAACCAAAAAGAGGAAAAAAACTGTCTTGTTACAGACCTTCTAGATGGTAGGGAAATCAGGAGAACTACAAGATACAACGGACTGTTCTACACTTGGGAAGAAAACTGTAACCTCAAAGAAAAATAATAAACCTTCAGATCAAAAAAGAGGACCACCATAAATATTCTGCAAATACTAAAACAATAGCAGTGAAGGAAGTGGTAACATGATGCATAAACAAAACAAACTCAGCATAAAAAATTATATGGAACAAAGGAAATGGACACCACAAAAAAGCACATAACAAAAATGACAACAACAAATTCATATTTGCCGATAATTACATATCTGGCAAGGGACTTATCACTAAGATTTATAGCAGAAGAGTGGATGACCAAACTATGTACAAACACATAATGGAATGCTATGTAGCACTAAAGAATAATGTAAAGTCTGCAAAACACCACATAATGTAGATGAACTTGGAGGACATTATATTGAGTGAAATAAGTCAATCACAAAAGGACAAATATAGTATTAGTTCATTGTTGTGGAGGGTCAAGAAATGGTTTATATATGGAGGGAAACTTTGTTGTTTGCCGGGGCGGGGCAAGGGGAGGGAACACTGCAAAAAAAAAAGCATTGACCCATGTCACTTAAGTTTTGTGTATTTCACTGTACATAAATTATATTTGAAATGGAATGCATTAAAAATAATGAAAGTAAAAACTTGAAAACTAGGTGTCTAGAATACCTACTATAATATTCTCACCAAACAGATGTCCCATTTTCTATCTGAACACCTTGTGAAAAAAGGAATTCATTTCCCCATGAGGAACCTTCACAAAGGTTTTAAGACCAAGTATGTACCCAGAGTCGAAAACCTAAGTCCTCAGAGGTGAAGATCCATATTCTTAATGCTTTCCAAATTTTTCTACACATTGGAACCACCTGAGATCTGTATAAAATACTGACGCCTATCTCCCATCTACAGACAGTCTAATTTAAATGGTTTGGGGTATGACCAGGACATTGGGATTTTTAAAAAGTTCACCAGATGATTCTAGTTTGCAGCAAAGCTTGAGAACCATTGCCAGCCTTATTTATGTAGTGGGATCAGAGTCTTCAAAGTAAAGTGTTTAAAACATCATCATTATTCCTGTGTTGAATGTTATTCCTTGCCTGTCCATTTTCTCCTTACTAAATTAATTGTTACTAAAAACTACAGCTTGAATTCTGAAAAGATGGGATAATTTTTCATAGAAAAGATTCATTAATTCAAATATTGTAGGACATTTTTAGAACTTAGTGTAGGATAGATCAGGTGAGAGGTAAGACATTCCTATAGAATTCTCCCATCAGTTTCCACGGAATTGAACCTTTTCCTGGTTTCTGAAATTATTAGGCAAAAATCTCTCCTCTAGTCTTTTGTTTTCTTTCTTGTTTCTCTTTAAAATAAAACAAAACAAAAATAAATTGATAATTCAAGTGTTATCTCTGTAGCTGACTATTCTTTGACTTGCTGAACTGTTTCTCCTTCTTAATGGATTGAACCCAGAAGGTCATCTTGGTCTGAATCTTTATAAATGGCAGACAAAGATGATCTCATTCTTATTTGAATATTTGAATTTTTTTTTTCCCAGAGGAAATGAGAATAAGAGCAGTATTTTTAAAGTTCATTCTTTCCTTTTATAGTCTGTCTGTCATTTGAAATTTTAAAAGGTTAAGGAATTAGTAGCATTGCCCTTTTCAAGATTTAAGCTACTTTAAAAAAAAAAAAAAGATTTAAGCTTCTTTGAATAGTAATGCTTGAAATGGAACTAGGTAGTGAAGGCTAATAACTAAAAAAATCTTTATTAGAACTCTGGTGAAACCATATTTTGAGAATAATGTAAATTTCTGTTGATATAGTTGTTAAGGTATTGAGTATACTCCAGAAGTGTACTTTTGATTGTTTTATTGAATGTTGAATTTTTTTTTTAATTTATTTCAAATAATGCTTTATTGTGTTTTCAGTGAAGGTTTACACAGTAGTTTAGGTTCCCCATTCAACCATTTCTCCACAATTGGAATGTCTAATTTTGAAAGGCAATTTAATCTCAGATTTTTTTTTCTAATTATGTTCTTTTCTTTCCAGTGGCAGCATGGAACCTGCATTTCATAGAGGAGATCTTCTCTTTCTAACAAATCGAGTTGAAGATCCCATACGAGTGGGAGAAATTGTTGTTTTTAGGATAGAAGGAAGGGAGATTCCTATAGTTCACCGTGTCTTGAAAATTCATGAAAAGTATGTGTAAAACATATATTCTTCATTTGTAAGGTTTTTATATTTTAGTATTTTCGGTGTTTAATTTTGATAGCCTAAGATTGAGAAGGGTAGCGAACCCCTAGACTCTTCTTTCAATATATTTTTATGACTGTCTGAAGGTTTGTGAACATTCAGAAAAATGTAAATAGCTATTTATTAATGCATTTTTTTCCTTGAATATTTTTCCGAAGGTTTTTCTTAGTTCCTTTCTACTTCCCAGCCTGATAACTAATCCTGTATATGAAACCAGAAAACGTAAAGATTGATTTCAAATAGTATCTTCCAGTGTAATATAATGAGGTGATTGCTGTCTTTAAAAAAACAAAACAAACAAAAAACCTCTAAGACATTCTAACAGATATTCCAAGTAAGGATAAATTTATCAACTTCTCCAAATTCCAAAGAAACTATCTGATACCTAAGTTATTCCTTTATATATAGACACTTGGCATTTTTAGAATCTGAAAGGGTCTATGTATAACCAGAATCACCTGGCAGGTGATGGTAGGACATAACAGTGAACAAATAATTTCACCTCGCTGGGCCTTAATTTCATGTCTGAAATATGAAGAGACTCAGCAAGATGCATTATAAGATCTCTTTGATTTCTAAGCCTATGATTCCCTGTCCAGGTACATACTCCTCTTTCCCTCCCTTCCAAATATGTGGTATTTCTAGTTAGGAAAACTTTCAGAGGGAAGAAAAGAAAAATAAGAGAAGTGTCCTGGGGAACACACGGGGCTAGGGGGTGGAAGGCAGTGGGGAGTGACTTAGGTTCTTGAATATAAGGAAGCTCTAAATTAATAGTTTATCTTAATTTTACCACCTTCTAGTTTATTTTTTCCACCTAAAGAAGGGGAAACTGTCAACCATTTTTTTTTTTTTTTCTAATGTCTGTAAACATTCTAGTTTCGAAGAATTCTTTCTTCATTGATAAAATAAAGACCCTAATGCTATTTTTTTTTTCCTCCAGATTTCAGTATATATTTTGACAGATTATAATCTTAAAATGACATCCTAAGGTTTATTGGATGGGAGAGATAGCTTTTAAGTTTTTAGAAATTTGTTTTGAAATTGTAGAGGTTAATTCAGTAGAGATAATCTTCTTCAGATTTGCAAAGTGAATTTGTGGTGGTATGAGCAAAATGGTGTTTCCCTTGAACTTACTAGAGAGAATCAAATTAAGCCCAGGCCCTGCTTTGACTAGAGCAGTTTCTCTGTTTTTACATGTAGTCCTTTGACTATGAGTGAGAGTCACAGAATTTTATTTCAGAATTGTTCATCTTCTTTCATGGATGGTTCAGTGGCACATGTTAATTTCACATTCCTTAAACTTTCAAAATAATTTTTAACAGAATCCTGAATATTTTAAGCTGTATGTTACCTGTAATCTTGGATTTTTTGTAGTATTTTTTAGACTCTTGAGAGGCCTTGCAGGCCTATTTAGATGACAGACTCTATCAATATTAAGAAGTTTCTAATTTCCTTTTTTCTTTGGGGAGACTGAGTTACCTGGTTGGAATTATCATTTGGTTAATAGTACTACATTGTTCTTAAATATGGGGCCACGTGACTACAAGAGTGGATTAAGTTTTTTATAATAAATGTGTAGCTCCTAAATGTTTTCAGGCTAATTTTTGTACTTTTAATAATTTCTTTGGTCTCAGCCTTATTTTAAGAAATGAAATGTTGAGCTTTAAAAGAACCACAGAGGTAGGAATTGTTAAACTGACCCCTCTTTTTTGTCTCTTCCCTCCTTTCCTTCTCTATGTGCTTCTTATAAATTTTATAAATTTGTAATTTATACATTTATAAATATATAAATACCCTATAAAGCTCTTGTTTTCATATATTGAATACCCATTTATGAATATTTTTATTACATGTATCATTATATGTGATGCTGTGTAGATTAGAAAATACCAAAAAGCTCAAAGAAAACAAAGTCAGATGTAATCCTGTTATGCCAAGTTAATGTTAAAACTTAAGATAATTCTCTTTCTGTTTTGCAAACGTATTTTTTTTTCCCCATACAATACTGGGATCTCCTCAGTGCTGTTTTGTAACATAATTATTTTATGAATATGTGTAAATATGTATCTGGTATTGTCACATACATGAAGTATCCCAGAAGTACAAGGCTTGCCAAGAACTGCTTACTATTACAGTAATGGGCCCATGAATTTGAATCTGTCATTTTCTTTGTGCCCAGCCCATTCATTCGTTCATTCTTCGATGAGCTTAATTATATGTACCAAACTCTCTTGACTAAACCAAAAAACCAAACTCACTGCCATCGAGTCGATTCCAACTCACAGCAACCCCCATTGGGTTTCTGAGGCAGTAAATCTTTACGGAAGTAGATGCCCTGTCTTCCTTCCAGAGAGTGGTTGGTGGGTTTGAACCACCAACTAGCCTTCTGGTTAGCAATCAAATGCCTTAGGCACTATACCAGCAAAATCCAAACACACTGCCATCGAGTCAGTTCTGACTCATTGCAACCCTTTAGGATGGAGAATTACCCCATAGGGTTTCCAGGGCTGTAAATCTTTATTGAAGCCAGCTGCCTCATCGTTTCTCCTGTGGAGCAACTGATGGGTGCAAACCACCGACCTTTTGGTTAGCAGCTGAATTTTTTAACCACTGTGCCACCAGAGCTCCCATGTAATGGAAAAGGGCACATAATTCAGGGCTTATCACTAATTTACTGTTGCGGTCAGGCAAAATTGTCAGAAACATTAAGAGATTTACAGGGTTTGGGGACAACAGTAAATTGATAGAAAGTGATTAGCATTATTTTTGTTTTTGAAAAAAGACTCCCCACCCCCTGCATTTATTATTGTTACTGTATTTTTTTATTAAGAAAAAAAATAAGGAGTTAGTTTACGTAGGGGCTATAAGATACTGGGGAGGGTTATAGGTACTGTGGCAACAAGTAAGAAATCTCTTCTTTGAGTCCTCCTCTCTCCTTACCTATTCTCTTGTTAGGAAAGATCTAGGAGACAGAGAAAGCTGTTCATTTTTTTAATTTAAAAGGTAAGATTGCTTTTAAATGTTTTTAGTTGACTTTATTCTCTTGGATAGTACCTCATGTTAAGTCTGTTAATCTGCTGTTCTTAATACTTAACATTATTTTCTACGCTTAAACTCTATCTTATTTGGAAGCACAATCTAAATAAGTATTTAGTAAGTTCAGCCTGCAGGATGTGTTATAGTTTGATGATTTTGGACACTGGCATGAAGTATTTGGAAGCCAAAATTTTGCCATTAGGGTGCCTTAGTCCTTAGCTTTGCTTTTCCCACGCCAAACAGACAAATTCATTATTCCGCACCCATTTGGCTTTTTGAGTCTCACTTTTTCTTATCTACAAAGTGGTTATTTCCTCCCTCTAAACACTAAACGTCACAGTATTATGATGGATGAATTAGATTGTAAGTGCTTTGAGCTCCTCGGAGGTAGATAATAATAAATATTTGGTAACTATGTCAGCAAAAGAAAAGTCCTGTATGAATGTGTCTTCATTCAGTATTTTGGGCCTGTGAGGTGTGAAGTGCTAGAGTAGGTCTTAATAGCAGGTCAAATAAGACCTGGTTGCCTCTAGAGAATATTTGTTCCACGATGATAAATAGAGGAAAGGGACCTATGCTTTTTCAAAAAGCTGTAGTGGTCTGTCCTAGTTACATCTGAGAGGGGGGAGTTGGGTGTGTTTGTTTGCTTTGATGGCAAATCAAGCCTTTGGGAATAACCCAAATCTGTTAACATTCTTTCTCTTCCCTTCCCTTCCCTCCGTTCTCCCCCTCTGTTCTTTCCATCCTCCTTCCCTTTTACTTCCCTAGGGAGTTTCCCATCTTCCAGTTTTTCTCTCCTCATACCTGATTCTGCTCTTTTGTATCTGTGAAATTGATAATATTTTTATATTTGAATTGAACCTTCCTGCTGGCTGCTCCTGACTTTCCCTCTTGCACCTGCCTTCTCTTACCCTCTAGGATTTTTCAGATATTCTTTCGCTTACTTTGAGTTGTAAGCTGCAGATTATTTTTCTCTGTATATATTTGCATTTTTTTCTGACTGGAATCTCATTTTTGATGTGACTGTTTGCACTCACTGTCTTTGGTGTTTGCAACACCTCCCAATTTAGTTTCATCTGCAGATTTAACGTCTGGTGGGCCTGATTCTGAGTTGGAATCTAAGTGAATATTAGTAGAAGTCTGAAGTTTATTGTCTTCTTTCTGGTATGGTAGTTAACCCACATTTGAATTAAGGTTAAGCTAAACAAACAAACAAACAAAAAACTCATTGCCATTGAGTCAATTCTGACTCATAGTGACCCCTTTTGGATTTCTGAGGCAATAAATCTTTGCAGAAGTAGATTTCCCAGTGTTCTTCCACGGAGTGGCTGGTAGGTTTGAACTGCCAACTTTCTGGTTAGTAGTCAAATGCCTTAGGCACTATGCCTTAAGAGCTCCTTAAGGTTAAGCTAGTCTTCATCAACTGTAAAATATACTTTTATTTCAGTTAAATTTTAAAAAATACTAGAAACCTTGTGATTCTTTAGAATTAAACCAGTAATTTTCTAGTCAAGCAAGACGCTGTTGCTGTAAATCTTGACATGTCTGAAGAACTAAGGGCTTTATTTTCACTAAGTTTTTTTTTTTTTTTTTTTAAAATAAAAACAATACTTGTTTGGTGGAGAAAAAATTAGAAGATACAGTTAAGCTAAAAAAAAAAAAAGCCATAGACAACCACTGTTCATAACTTGGTTTATGTTATTTTAAATCTTGTTTAATATTTTTATTTTTTATATTTGGAGAATTTCTAACATCCACAAAGTAGACAGAACAAGATAATGAGAGTTTCCATGTATCTGTCACTCAGTCTCAATTACAGTGAAACCTGTGAGAGCCAGAGCTCAATGAGACTGCCTTGTTTTTCGGGGCCTCGTACTTTTTTATTGCTCATTTTAGTGGAAAGTATTTTTTTAATGCATTTTATTGAAATATAATTTATGTACAGTGAAATACACAAAACTAAAGTGACATGGGCCGTTGCTTTTTTTTTTTTTTTTTGCAGTGTTTCCTCCCACCTCTCCCATCCCTGGCAACTAACAAAGAAAGTTTCCCTCCATATATAAACTTTTCCTTGACCCCTCTACAACAATACTGTATTTGTCCTTCTGTGATTGACTTATTTCACTCAGCGTAATGTCCTCCAAATTCAACCATGTTATATGGTGTTTTGCAGATTCTGTATTATTCTTTAGTGCTGCATAATATTCCATTGTGTGACTGTACCATAGTTTGGTCATCCACTCTTCCATTGATGGGCGCATAGGTTGTTTCCATATTTTTGCTACTGTAAATAGTGCTGCGATGAACATGGGTATGCATATATACCTGTTGCTGTCCTGGCTCTCATCTCTCTAGGATATATACCTACTAATTGGATTGCTGGGTCAAATGGTATTTCCAATTCCAGCTTTCTAAGGAACCACCATACTGCTTTCCACAGTGGTTGTATCACTTCACAGTCCCACCACCAGTGTAGGAGAGTCCCAGTCTCTCTACATCCTCGCCAGCATTTGTTATTTTCTGTCTTATTGAACCTTGCCATCAGTGCTGGGTTGACATGGTATCTCATTGTTGTTTTGATTTGCATCTCTAATGATCAATCATCATGAGTATCTCTTCATGTATTTGCTAGCTACCTGAATATCCTACTTGGTGAAGTGTCTATTCATGTCTTTTGCCCATTTTTCAGTTGGATTGTTCATTCCTTTGCTGTCAAGGAATTAGAGTTTTCTATAAATCTTAGAGATAAGTCCCTTGCTAGATAAGTAATTATCGACAAGTATGAATTTGTTGCTGTCACTTTTGTTATGTGCTTTTTCATTGATTTCTTTGCTCCATATAATTTTCTGTGCTAAGCTCGTTTTGTTTCTAAGTCATGTTTCTTTGTTGCTGTTGTTTTAATATCTGCTAAATATTTGTGCTGGTCCTCTTTTTGATTTTGATGTGAAGGTTTATCATTTTTCTTTGAGGTTACACTGTGGTTTAGTGGAAAATATTTCCATTTTCCTTCTCTAATAGGATTTGACTGCTAACCAGAAGGCTGGCGGTTCAAATCTACCAGCCATTCCTCGGAAGGAAGATTGGGCAATCTACTTCCGTAGTGATACTACCTTGGAAACCCAAGGAGGGGTCGCTATGAGTCGGATCCGACTCAACGGCAGTGAGTTTCGTTTTTTGTTTTTTGGGTTTTTTTTTCGGTAATAGGTTTCTACCTTACGCAGGTACTAGCTTTTGCAGGTACCAGCTTTCACAGGTTTTATTGTATTACTCTGTGGCCATTTCTGCCCCATCCACATTCCCACCTCTTTTCCCTCTGTTTTGAATCAAACCCTAAGCATCATATGTCATCTGTAAATATTTCCATAAATATGCCTACAAAACATAATCACAGGTTTTTTTAAAATTTACCATTAGCTTGGTTACACATTTTTAAAAAATTAACGGTGATTCCTATTTATCATTTAAATTTCCAATATTGTCTCAAATTCCCAATTGTGTCACATCTTTTTTTTTTTTTAAACAGTTTACATCCAGATCCAAATAAGGTCCTCAAGTCTAGCTGGTTGATAGGAATTTAAAATCTCTTTTATTTAATTTGTTGGTTCTTTCTTCAGTTTTCTTTTTTCCTTGCAATGTATTGGTTGAAGAAATGGGTCATTCTGTAGTTTCCCACAGTCTGTACTTTGCCAATTACATCCTGTGGGGTAGGATAACATGTTCCTTTGCTCTCTCTCTGTATTTCCAGAAAATTGGTAGTTTATATATATTTTAATATCAAAAAATGAATTTATACTGTATAAATTTCTATGCTGAATAGGTCCCTGGATGGGACAGGCAGTTTGCACTTGACTACTAACCTAAAGGTTGGCAGTAAAAGCCACCCAGTGACGCCATGGAAAAGAAAGGCCTTGTTGATCATCTTCTGTAAAGATTACAGCCCAGAAAACAGCAGTTCTCCTCTGTAGTATGCATGAGGTCACCATGCATTGGAAATGGCTCAACAGCAACAAGTTTGGTTTGGTTTGGTTTTGGTTTTGGTATGATGAATATATTTCATTTTTTTTAGGTATAAACATGTTAATTTTATTATATTTAAAAAACAGTGATTATGCTTTATAGGTATTTATAGAAGTGTTTACTGATGACATGTGATGTCTAGAATTTGATTTAAAATGAGGAGAAAGTATGGATGGACAGAATTGACCATAGATTAATCATTGTTGGGTCAGGGTGATGGGTGAACGGGAACTATTTCATCAATTTTTGTGAATGTTAGAAATTCTCCATGTTAAAAACATCCTTTTAGCTAAATAATTGTTTTGATGGTAGGAATGGTGATAAAGTACCACAGTGCCATAGGAATTTTTGTACTTTTTGTATTTTCAAAATAGCATGAAGGCATTTGATAAGTTGGGTTTTCTTTACTCTTTAAAGGCAAAACGGACATATCAAGTTTTTGACCAAAGGAGATAATAATGCAGTTGATGACCGAGGCCTCTATAAACAAGGACAACATTGGCTAGAGAAAAAAGATGTCGTGGGAAGAGCAAGGGGGTGAGTATAGAGGGGAACATCTGTTGAGCTTTTTTTATATCACTTAAAACATAGCCTTCTCAATTTATCTTTTCAGACACATTCCTTATAGTGGTTTGGTCTCAGTTCTGCCAAATCTCCATCATATCCTTTGAATAAGTGCTTCTTAAAATGCATATGAGACCTCAGAGGTCCAGTATTGCTTCCTCAGGGGTCTTATATGCATTTTAAGAGGAAAGGATAAAATGGAGAGGAAGACCTCAGTTACATTGCTCCAGAGGAGAGGAGCTGGGGCACAATCAAAGCATAGAGTATTCATGATAAGGTGATGAATTGGGTGTGGCAGCTTTTAAAATTCATCTGTTTATTCACTTCAGTCAAGAAATGTTAATGGACACTTTAAATGTATTCTACTTTCTATACCATAAGAGACTGTAGGGATCCAAAGCAGTATTAATCCTGCTTAATGAAACTTGTGTTTCTTAAAGATATTGCTGAGTCAACATCTTAAAATATGCATCTAAATTATGTTTATCATGTTAATTTATTTCATTATTTATGTTTTATTTATAGTCTTAAAATTGAAGAGGTCAAATGAAATTTAAAAATTATATTAAGCCTATTTATTTCAGATATTGTCAGGAGAACAGATCAGTGGAGGACAGGAATTGTAAGTTATCGGTGTGAGGAAGTATGAGATTGTTACTACATTAATGTTATTAATAGTATTAACAATAACTCACTTTTATTAGGGCTTACTATGTGCCAGAGACTATCTTTCTAAGTGCTTTACAAGTATTATTTCATTTTAACTTCAGAACCACCCTAATATTCCCATTCTACAGATGAAGAAACACGAATGAGTTAAGTTACTTATCTGAAGTCACACTGCTGATAAGTGGCTGTATGACTCCAGAGCCCACCCTTTTAACCATCATATCAAGATTACTTGCATAGCATTTCTGAAATGGGTAACTGTTGGTTCTCACTATTAGATGCCACGTGGTACTCTTACGACTGTCAGCACATCTGCTCCTCCTGGCCTGGAGCAAACAGTGTGAATAAAGACGTATTACACTAGGGAACAGGCAGCTCTGCTCTCATAGAGAAGTGTGAGTTATTAAGTCAAGCTGCCTCAGTGACACTGTGAGAGTTGTTCAGTTTGGAGCTGTAGAGATCAGACCATAACAAGCACTAGCGTGTTTAGTCTCCCCTGCAGAGCTGTTTTTTTGTGCATGTTCCCAGTTCTAGAGAACATCTTTCCTATAATGGAGCTAAACATACTTATATAGTCCAAATTAAGTCATCCGTGCCTTAGGTTCCAAGATGCTGCTAAGGTCGTTGTTCAGGCTTATCAACCTCTTTGAGCTGTTTTGTTTTTAACTGTAAAAGTACAGTACATGAGGAAATACAAATCATCACAAAGCAAAGTCACTTCCCTCCTCCTCCTCCTCCTCCATAAATATTTACACTTATTCCTCACTTATCGACTATCTCATTATCCAGCATTTCACATTGATGACAAAAGTAAAAAAAAAAAAACTGTCCAACTGTTTTGTGCATTAACAATGTAAATCTGGCAGTAACAAATGCTGAAGTGAGAGTAACACTGGCTGTGGTAGTTAAGCTATATATCAACTTGTCTGAGCCTTGATTCTCAGTGGTTTATTAGTTACATGATGATGTAGTCATCCTCTATTTTGTGATCTGTTGTGGTCATCCTCCATGCATAACACTGATTTTCACATAATGACCTCATCTTTGGAACCGAACCACGTCAATAAGTGAGAAGTGGGTGTACTGTTAACATTTTGATTTCTATCCTTTAACCTTTGTTTTTTGCTTTTTAACTTTTTGTTAAGATTTGAGTGAAAGTTTACAGAGCAAATTGGTTTTTCATTCAACAATTCATACACATTTCGTTTCGTGACATTGATTGAAATCCTTAGCACTCACTCTTCCTGCTTCCTCCTTTTGTACCATTTCTAGTCATCCTTCTTTCCTATAGCCTTTCTTTATGTACACAGAAGGAAAGAGATACTGAGATATACATATATTTATGTACATAAACAAATTTTGTTTATGAGGAGAAATGGTCACAGTATTTTACAACCTTTTTTTTACTTCAAAAATTATTATCTTTACAAATCAGTAAATGTATCTCCATATCCCCATTTTCAAAGTTGAATTCTGTTCTGCTATATGGGTAGATGATACTTTTATTTAGCCAGTTTCCTGTTGTTGGACACTCTGATTGTTTCCAATTTTTTTCTGTTGTGAATAATGTTATTATGAACATCCTGTTACTTATATTTCATTGTTTCTGCATAATCATTTCTTCACAGTGAATTCCTAGAAGTGGAATTGCTGGTAGAAGGTATGCACATTTTAAGGCTTTTGATAAACTTTGCCGTACTGTTTTATTTAAACTCCTACCAATATAACAGCATCCTTTTTTTTTTGAGATCTTGGTTCCTAAGTGTTTAATACAGGTTTGTCTGCTTGCTGTGGTACCTTGGTTGAATAAAAGATGCATTATCATTCAAAAGGTTAGAAGGAAATGTACTTTTGTTCAAGTAACTTGACTTTCTCAAGGATTTCTGAAAAATTCCAAACTATATACAGTGCTATTCCTGAAATCCTTAACATTGAGAATATAGGCCTTTTTGTGGTTTCTGATAAAAAAATATACCTGGTCTCTCTGAATTGAGTAACTTTCTGTGAAATATAAAACATCTGGGACATGAACAATAGAAGCACAGAATCTTAACTATATAAATTCACTTTCCACTGATTATACCTTGACACATGTTGCTACATGTCACCCTCTTTTGTGGAAATTGTATTTATAAAGCACTAAGCTGATATTTTGAAGTCAGAATGTACCCAAATCTTAAGGATAGTCACAGGCAAGTCTGTGACAGGTACAAACATCTTTATACATTTTTAAAAATGTGTATTCAGACAACTGTACATTAAAATAATTTGAATTGAGGACTAAGGCCCTAAGTAAAAACAATTTTTAAAATTTTTATTGAGATAATTCACATCTAGGGAGAAAAATTCACAACTTTAAAGTGTACAATATAGTGGTTTTTAGTATATTAACAAGATTGTGTTACCTTCAGCACTAATTCTAGAACATTTTCATCACTCCATTTCCCCTCCCCATTTCCCTCTCCCTTTAGCCCAAGACAAGCACTGATCTATTTTGTCTTTATGTTGTTGTTGTTATTGTTAGATGCCATCAAGTTGATTTCAACTCGTAGTGACCCCCTGTGACAAAATAGAACTGCTCCATAGGGTTTTCTTGGCTGTAATCTTTATGGAAGCAGATCTTCAGGTCTTTCTCCTACAGAGCTGCTGGGTGGGTTCAGACTGCCAGCCTTCTGTCTTATCTAGATTTGCCTATTCTGGACATTTCATATAATGGAACTGTATAATATATGGCCTTTTGTGTCTGATTTCTTTCATTTAGCATAATGTTTTCAAAGTTCATCCATATTGTAACATGTAATAAAAACAATTTTAAAAAATGAAACTCCTAATGAACGAATAAAGCGTTTAATAGAGATAATTCTTTCTAAATCCAGGAAGTTGAAAAACACAACAGGAAGGAAGATGGTCAAAGGAAGATAAAGAACATCTGGGAATAGAGAAATACTGACGTTTAGAAAATGAATAAAAATACAAGGAAGCAGAGTAACTGAGCTCTCAGTGCATTGAAATCATATTAGTGGATAAAGCTTTTAAAACATACTTGAGACAGATTATTCTGGGATAGAAACAAAATGATCCTTTTTTGGGTCATTGCATATTCTCATAGTAAGTTGGCTGCTAGGGTCCCTACTTGCCAGATATAGACCTCTTTTGACATCTGACAAAATTGTGCTGCAGTCTCCTCTTAAATTTTATGGCCATCTTTTCTGTGCTGTTCTTTTGACTTCTTGCTTAGTGATCTCTGTTTGTTTTCTCCCCAAACACCAGCAGATAGTTCCTCTTTCTGAGACTACGTCCTCAGCAACAACTTTGATCCCATGAACTTCCAGGAAAATGTATTTAACCATATTTTACTTTCTAGCTGCTAACTTGTCATAGGCTGGTATTGGAGTTGGCTTTGTGGATGGCATTTGTTTTGCTTATTTACACCTTGGTCTGCTTATTAGCAAGTCTGCCTTAACATATGAGTTTATCTGAGCAAAGTAGGAGAAAAGTGTAACTGATTTGAATTTAAGATGACTGATGATAGCAACATGTTGGAGTTGATTACCAACTCTATGCTATCTCTGTCCATGAAGGGAAGCCAGTGGTACAGATAATGAAATCTTTTGTTTGACTTGGACTTAAAATTCTTGCAGCCTTAGGTTTTGCTTGTATCACTACTAAAGATCAAGCAACTTTCACTTTGAGTGGTCAGGGAAAGCTAACATTTAAAAAAAAAAAAAAAAAGTTAACATGGATAACTCAAGTAAACTATGTGGTTACTGGCAGCCAAGGTTGTAGTTCTTTGGGCATGGATATCATTGCATAGAGATAACAAAGTCTCTATTTTTGACACAGATCATCAGATCAGAATCAGCAATGTGGTATTTTTTCATAGAAATCACAGGTGCTTTTATAGCTATTAATCTGCATTTTACTGTAAGGCATTTGCCGGAAAAAAACCTTTCATGTTCTTAAATAAGATGCTTACTTTCTCTGAAAGTGATTGCCTTTATGAAAGTGTTGAAAATGAGGCAAAAGAAATAACAGTTAATCCATTAAAAAGAGAAAGAAAAAAATTTTATATATGTTATATATACCAGATAGATATATCAAGAAATATCTCCCCTCCTCAAGCTTAGCTATGCCAGCTTATGGTGTATGTCAGCTCTTACTTTTGAACTCTTGGAGATCCCAGGGGTTGAAACTAAAGCCTGGGCCACAGCATGCCTGTCCCATGCATCTCCCACCTTGGAACTGTGCTTCTTTAACTTGAGTGTGCAGGCACATCACTTAGACCCACCTCACAGAGATTCCCCAGCTTAGTAAATCTGAGGAAGATACAGGCATATGAATTTTCAACAAGCTATCCAAGTGATTCTGACGAAGGGGGTGTCTAGCTTTTAAGAAATGCTAACTTATGATATGGGAATTTAGGGATGGAGAGACAGACAGATAGATAGGCCTGGGTCATGCTGCCAGAAGGAAGAGAGGTGGGGAGGGGTGAGAACAGGAGACAGGAAGTAAGGGGAGTTCTTAAAAGGAAGTGAAATACACTAAAGACCAAACTTCTGTTTTTCCAATTTGCTGAAGGCTTAGATGGTGGAGGTGCTGTGTGGGAGGTAATTGCTATTTGTGCTCCCTTTGGCATGGTGCAGAATTTATGGATGCCCTGAATAAAGGTATCTGGGCTATTTTAAAGTCTGGAAAGATCACCCAGTCCACTTTAGAGTCCAGCAGTAGAAGAGAAGGAAAAAGGAGTTGTAATTTGTTAATCACTTTTTCCTTCCTCATAATGTACCTGCTAGTTATCTCTCTCTCCTGAATTCTTAGAATGTTGAGAAGTCTTTTGCACTGAGGGGAGAATTGAAGCTGTAGGAGAAAATGAGATCCCCAAAGGAAAGAAAAGAGGAGGCGGCCCAGGGTTCAGATGTTGAATCAGCTAGTGTTTTCTGGCTAGTGGGGGAGGGAGACATTAACAGCTAGTTATATAACTAATTAATTAACATTGTGACAAGAGCTTCAAAGGAAACATACTGGGTGCTATGAGCTCTGGTAGCATAGTGGCTAAAGCACTTGACTGCTAACCAGAAGGCTGGCGGTTCAAACCCACCAGCCACTCCTCGGAAGGAAGGTTGGGCAATCCTACTTCCGTAGTGATACTGCCTCAGAAACCCAAGGAGGGGTCGCTATGAGTTGGGGCCGACTCGACAGCACATAACAACAACAACAACAACATGAGATTGTTTAACAGGTCATTTATCAAACTTTGGGGTCAAAAGGAGGAAAAAAAACATAATTGTAGTACCTCAAGAAGAAAATAGAGAAACAGTTTTGTGCTGTGTTATAGAAAATAAGGACAAAGAAAGAGATTTCAAGATCAAGATGTGGTAGAGATGTATAAGAGATGCAGGCTAAGATTGTTCTGCTGTGTTTGTTGGTTAAAAATTCTAGAAAAAGTTTCAGGATTAAAACAGCCAAAACCATATTACAAATAGTTTAAAAATGAGAGAGTGGTGAAATATTAAGTACCATACTAGGGTTCTTAGCTTCACTTTTTGGACACTTAACATGAAGTACCTTGTAATGTTCTGGCTGTGTTTGCCTTGTTTCCCCAACTAGATTGGCAGCTCCCTGAAGGTTATGACAACAGACCCAGCTCTTAGCACTGTATCAGCCTGTAGTATCTGGTACTGGTTCTACTGCACAGAACCGTTACTGTACCTTGGGCATGATCGTCTGTTTCCTCATCTATAAAATGGTGACCTAACTTCCTATCACGTGGCCTGTTGAAAGGATCAAATATGACGTTGTAGTTATATGTTGCTTAACATCCATGATATATTCTGTGAAATAGGATGTTAAGTCATTTGGATGTTGTGCGAACGCCATATTATATACAGTCAGTCTTCAAGTTATTGAACGTCCAACTTAACGTACAACCCTTGGTTGTGAACCAACCATCATAAGGCCTATTATATTAAAAATTCAAGGTACATACAGTGGTTCATAATAACAAACAAGCTCTACTTTGCAATGCATATCAAAACATTATTATTACTGTATTATGTTAAAGATGTTTTAGTGTATCTAGAAGTGTTTCTTTAATGTTTCTTATGCATAGAAAGTTACACTACATACTAAGACAAACATATAAGTGACATTAGACACAGACCATAACTGTTCCAACTTACATACAAATTCAACTTAAAGACAGATATAGGAATGGAACTTGTTCATAATCCAGAGACTGCCGGTAATAAGCTTTACAGGGGTTGGTTTGTAACTACAGGTTGTACCTAAGTCGGACGTTTGTAACCCAGGGACTGCCTTATAACCTTATGGGGCACAGCTGTATATGTGGTCAGACATTGCCTGAATGGATCTTATACAGTACATGACTGCATATGCCAATGGGCTTTTGTGAACTGGAAATTAGTATTCTATAGAAGCAATAGAATATTCAGTAAATAATAGTGTCTACTTTACTTAAGAAGTTCTATGATGTTCTGTTTTGTTGTTGTTGTTGTTGTAGATTTGTTCCTTACATTGGAATTGTGACGATCCTTATGAATGACTATCCTAAATTTAAGGTAAGAACCTATACTATGTGTTTTGTTAAGAATATGATTTCTTGCTTAATTTGGGAAACTATTCAGTGAATTACAGTTAAAAGATGAAAGAGTAATTGGATAGTTTAATAATATATCATGGTCACAAAGGCCAGTTTATTAACTAATAACTCTTAGGACTTGTGAACTTTCAAAAGCTGCTCTGACTTGTGATTCTGTGTTTATTTTCTAGTATGCAGTCCTCTTTTTACTGGGCTTATTTGTGCTGGTCCATCGTGAGTAAGAAGTCTGCCTTGCAGTTCCTGGGAAGATGCCATACTTTTTGTTACTGGACGTTTGGAGTAGATATTGGTCTCTGATTGGTGGGATGGAGAACACACATTCTGGCACTTCTTGGTAGCACTGGTTTGCATTAGTTTATGTTTCCACACCAGAGTATGTGTGGGCGGGTGCATGTGCACCTTGGAGTGCACTTGAGGGGACTTTCAATCACAGAATTTCATATGTCGTCATCGTCACACTTTCACATTTTTGTACATCAGTGAATTTTTTATATTAAAAGTTTGAGCCAAAGCCCCCAGTGTTTGTATTTTGAAGCCAAGCTTCACTTCTAAAGTGCCTCCAGAGTTCTGTAAATGAAAATGCAGCTCTGCATGAGTTTGAAGCCACCATTCCCCCTTATGATGGGAATGGCCTATACTGAGATGGTCACAAGTCTTAACTTTTCAGAATTTTGAATAAAAGACTTTACACATTGAATCCCTTATCCCTAACTTGTGTTTGTCAAGAAAGCTTCTGAAATTTGCCTTTCTTTGCTGGTTCCCAGTACCCCTTGGGGGGGATATCCAAAGGCTTTTGTGTGAACAGTCCTTAGCTAAAGATTGCCCTAATACTAACAAATCTTTTTTATATTTGTTTTGTTTTTGTTTTTATGAAGCAAAAGTAGCTATTGACGTTCATAGGAAATGTCTTAGTCATAAAATTGATTGTTCACTAGGGTGTGACTCAGATGTGTTTAAACCTTGCTAATGTTGCTGAAAAGTTGAGAAAATCTCACTTTGCTGTACACACTCATAACCCTTTCTATACCTGAGACATTTCAGCCTTTTTTGCATGATGGCAGTGTGGGCTAGCATCTGGAGGAAGCACGACAACGTGCTGGAGAGCAAACATTCTGCTTGTTTTCTTTAATGTCCCTGAGCCTGCTGTCTTAAGTGCTTGGCTTGGCTTTTCCTTAAAATAGACCTAAAGGAAATAAGGCAAAGCAGAAAGTAGTGAATGCAAAGCCCAATTGTTTGGTGGTCTTTGAATATTGAGGCAGGAAAATACGGAGTGTAGGGCCAAGGCAGTGTGTTTTGAGCACAAAATAACCTTCATTCTATCTGTTCTCTTAGTGTATTCATGTGAAACAAGTGTTCTCAGTTGGCCTAAGTGAACAGTTTCTATTTGTTCAACTGAGGTGGAAATCAGTTCATACTATAATGCTAATGGAATGAGAATAGGAGCAATTAATCTTCTGAGGGCCTCCTCTTTATAGAGAATAGTGCCATCCTAAATCCATTAACTAGGCTTTAGCCTTCAAACTTTGTATATGTGCTCTTAATGGTCTGAACAGAGTATGAAGGTTGTCAAATCACTGCTAACAGATGCTTCTTTGAGGCTTATGTAGTACTTTTGTTGTTTTGTTTTTAAATTTTTATTGTGATTTGAGTGGAATTTTACAGAACAAATTGATTTTCCATACAACAGTTCATAGACATTTTGTTTCATGACATTGACTGCAATTCCCTACAGTGTAACAGCTCTCTTCTCACATCCTCCCTGTAGTTACCTCTTCCCTGTGTCCTTCCCTCCCATGCAGTCCTGCCCCACAAGCTAGCTCCCTGTGCAAGCATTGCCCTTCTGTTCTCCCACAATTGATGGCTGGCTCCAAGAAGTGTATCTACGTGATGTAAATATTCACCCCATATTCCTGTCTGTTGTTTGGCTGGAAACCACAGGAGTTCAGTTCCAGCCTGATGGGCCATAAAACTCACTGCCATAGAGTCGATTGCGACTCAGTGACCCCTCCTTGGGTTTCTGAAATGGTATCTCTACAGAAGTAGATTGAACAGTCTTCCTTCCGATGAGTGGCTGGTGGGTTTGAACCACCACTTGTGGTTAGCAGTCAAATGTCTTAAGCACTATGCCACCAGAGTCTGCTTTTATATTCTTATGAGCCAAGGAGAGTGCTAGAACAGCAGAAAATTGCTACTTCTTCCATTTTCCCCTCCTAATCACCTACAAAGGATAGGGCTAATCAGTGTATTGACTGTTTTTATACCAACTTTTCTAGGATGACTGGGGGAGTAGTATGCTGTGCTGGCCAGGGTTGGGAAGCCAGAGTCTTCTGTGATCCTACTTTGCTAGGGATCCTTGCTAGACATTGGGGGAAAATATTAATATTTTTTCTCAGTTGCATATTTTCACACCAGTTTTGTGCAAATATTATTTTTTCCTCCTGTGATGGACACTCTAGTTACAAGAAGTAGCTAAATTTCTCTGAAGAATTTATCAAATAATTTTGAGAGATTTGAATTGCTTTACTAGAGAAAATTTAAAAGGATTATTTGTGGGGAAGAAGTATTATGTTCCCAATTTTATTATTTTCTAGTTTAATGTTAAAAAAAAAGACTTAAAACTGAGAGATTTTATTAGTAAATAAAATGTATTTTAAAAGCTTTTTGGAAATTTAAGAAGTACCAGAGAGATTCATGATACTTTATAGAATTATAACCTCTTTGGGGTTTGTCACAGAGCGAGTGGGAAGTTGAGAGGTTTTAATTACTGTGAGTGAAGGGAACGAAAGCAGAGTGTGAGAACTTAAACACTTTAAATGAATTTAATAATGGGATTATCTCTTGGCTATTACCCTTTTACTCATCCACTCTTATATAACACCAACTATTAAATTCCTTCATGATTTTTCCAAATACCTGTTCTCCATTCTAGTCTGTATTTCTTGGTTCTCACTAGACACTTCTACTTCATTGCCCCCATCTTCAAAGTTATACGTTTGTGATAATTACCCTAAACTTTTCCTCAAGATCTCATGTTTTTCAAAATCATTTGGAGGGAAAAAAAAAAAAGAAGGTGGGGACCAGGTTTGCTGGTCCAATAGAGCCTGGTGGAACCACTGAGACTATGGCCCCTAGCTGCCCTTCAGGTCTGGAATTGAACCCACACCTGTGGTTTCCAGCCAAACAAAGTACAGGCATGTGAGTTAAACATTTACCTCAAGTAGACACGCGCCCTGGAGAGAACAATTGTGGGAGAAGGAAGGGCTGCTTATGCACAGGGAGACAGCTCAGGGGGCAGGGGAGTATGGAGGGATGGACACTGGGAAGAGGTAAGTATGGGGAGGAAGTGGGAGAGGAGCTGTTGCATTATGGTAAACTGTGGTCAATGACATGAGACAAAAGTATATGTGAACTTCTGTATGGAAAGTGAATTTGCTCTGTAAATCTTCACCCAAATCACAATAAATTAAAAAAAAAAAGATTTTATGTTTTCCATTAAGCCATTTTCACCTTAATTTTTCTGACATATCAGTTACCGACTCCCACGTTTATGTTCTCCCATTCCCATCACTTGAATCTAGAAGTACATGTTCAATAATTGGCTGTTGTTTGGGTGACCATATGTCCCAGTTTGCCCACAGTGTGCCAGTCTGTGCTTATTTTATTTTTAAAAACTTTTTATTGTGATTTGGGTGAAAGTTTACGAGCAAATTCATTTTCCATACAGCAGTTCATACGCATTTGGTTTCATGACATTGACGGCAATCCCCACAGTGTAACAGCTCTCTTCCCATTTCCTCCCTGCAGTTATCTCTTTCCTTTGTCCTTCTTTAATGTGCGCTCCTGTGACCTATTTCTCTGCAAATACTGCCCTTCTGTTCTCCCATGATTGATTGTTCTAAGGAATGTAATCTGTTGTTGTTGTTACGTGCCGTGCGTCAAAGTCGGACCCGACTCATAGCAACCCCTCCTTGGGTTTCCGAGGCAATATCACTACGGAAGTAGATTGCCTCATCTTCCTTCTGAGGAGTGGCTGGTGGGTTTGAACTGTCAGCTTTCTGGTTGGCAGTTAAGTGCCTTAGGCACTATGCTACCAGAGCTCCCAAACATGGATATAGTGTGTGCTTATTTTAGATCACTTACATAGCTAGATAACTGCCATCAAGTTGATTTTGATCATGACAAACATGAATTGGGACAATAGCTACAATGATACACTCGAACATTGATGCCACAGAACAAAACATTACCTAGTCCTGCATCATTCTCATTGTCAACGTGTTCAAGTCCATTGTTGCAGCTGTTGTGCCAATCCATCTTACCAAGGCATGTGCCTTGCCCTCGCTGACCCTCTTCTTCAGCAAACATTATGTCATGTTTTAGCAGTTGATCCCTCCTGATGATGTGTCCAAAGCAGGTGAGTGTTCTATTGTGATCCATAAGGTTTTCATTGGTTAATTTTGGGGAATAGATCATCAGGCCTTTCTTCCTAGTCTTTTCGTCTGGAAGCTGCACTGAAATCTGTCCACCATAGGTAATGCTGTTGGTATTTGAAATACCCATAGCATAACTTTCAGCATCATAGCAATGTGCAGGCTACCACAGTACAACACACTGACCCACAGGTGGTGGTTAGATCAATTACTACCTGTTCATTATTTTTAGTTCCCCTTTCACTTTCAGAAGTGACCCTTGTTTGGACCATAAATTTTGTGTTCACCCTACCTTTACCCATATGTGACATTCAGACTTTGAATTTAGCTACAGTTAAGCATCCTTGTGCCATACTGTGGGTGTTTTCACTTATATTTTCTCGGGATCTCTTCTGCTTGTCTAAGTCTCACCTTCTTCACAAAATAACTGTTATTTCTCTGTTGCTCATCATTTGCAACTTTACGTTGTTTGTCTGAATTTGTGGATATGGCTTCAAGTTCTCTATCCAGACTGTAAGCTCCTTCAGGGCAGAGATTCATTTTATAGACGCTCTACTAAATGTTCCAAAAATCGATGCATTGGAACCAGAGGCAGGAACTTAGACTTATTGTTGAGCTGTTATTCTGGGGCAGAGCACATGAATCATCAAAGTGATTTGTACTTTTCTGTTGTTCAGTAAGTACGGTATCTTGGGCTTGTCAGATTTGAATATAAAAACTTTATCTCTCTATGGTTCCATTTAAGTAATATGTGCCCTTTCCGGATTTTCTATGTTGATCGTGTGTGTGTGTGTGTGTGTGTGTGTGTCTTTGAATTCTTCCTCTGTTCTATTTCTTGATGTGAGACGTATTGGCCTTTGTTACTTTTCACACTTCTGTCAGAGAGACTAGGCTTGGAATAAAGACTGTGTCACCCTTGAGTGAATTTCTTGGTCATTTGCATAAGTGTGTTACCAAGTCTAAATAAGCCCCTAGAATGAGGCGGGGGGAGTACTGCAGGATTTTAGAGTATGCTAGTTATGACATTTGTTATTCTGTTGAGCTTCAGAGATGACCCAACAGATTCTACTGCTTAAATAGATTGCCCACCCTCCTCAAGATACTCTTTCAGTCAGGGGGATATCCTGCTTTGTCACTGTTATGTCTTGTTAGAGCTGTAAATGTTATCAGGTAGGCTTTTAGGAATAGAACAGTAAATATTACCCTTCACACATGAGTATGAGCCTGGCCATGGAAAGAGTATTATGTAACCAGGAAGGGTTATAGAATGCTCA